GCCGTTCACCACTTTCTAATTGAGACTGATAACAAGGCCTTGGGGACTGGTGACCACTTTTCTTATATTCACTTTCCTAGACTATGATATTGTCTAACCCACGTAATAAATTCCACACACATCAGCCCTTATACGTTTGAATTCCCTGACCACATGATCTCCCGGTATGCTTACGCTAGTTTGCTCCGGACCTCTTATGCTTTAATATCATATATTAACAAATTCAACCCTACCTAATCGCTACTCTAATAAGTACAAATGGACGTTATCTTGTTGGATTTGATCACTTGTTGTCACCAACTTAATGGTGGTATACGTTAAGTCCTTCTCCTTATCAGTGCTCATTATCCTATCTTATTTCTCCTCAAACCCACCAGCTCTTAATGATGTCATCCCATTCCTTCATCCTTTCTAGCCTCAGCCTGAATAGTGCTCACTCGTTTCATCAACCGAAAGTACGCACAAACTCTTCACTGGGTCCCGTCCGTTTCCAGGACGCGTTCGTTTTAATCTGCCAAACCTTTTGTCCAAACTTAACCACTTCTAACGACTTTGTAATAATATTAATAATATTTATTCCCAACCAGTGGGTAGCATATCGTCGGGTATGATCGTAGTATTACAGTCAGAATAAAGGCATGACTGATGGGGTTTGTGATTAATGGGAAAAGGGAAAGTGACGTAAACAGTAAACATTAATGAAGTAGAGTTCATCACAACTGAGGTGGCATGAGTAGGGATCCAAAATTACAAGGTCTCTTTATGTCCTATGGAGAACATAGCAGATGGCACGAGATCTGAACGTTAGGGTTTAAAAGTGGCGGGCGAAGAAAACAAAACAAGTGAGGGCATAACAAAGAGCTTCCTGACTGAAACGTGACAAAAGCAAAAGAACTTCAAATTACAGGAAGTGTGGGGCCGGAATAATGGATATGGAGAGGCAGCAGAGCTGCCACGACATGGCAGGCCGGTTTGAACTAAGGCCCGGAACCGTCACCAGGGCTTCATGGCCTTGGGCTGTGGCGGATGGCCACGGAAAGCTATGTGGGGGTGGTGTAGTGGGGTAAAAATGTAGTACGGACAAATGGTAGCAGGAAACGCAGAATTACAGTGTGCAGTGAAGCTCATGCGACTCACTAGTGTTGCAGATGAAGCAGGGTCGTGTGTAAGAGTTACTTGGGAAACGAGTTCACGCAAACTGAGCAATAATTGACTCATTTGGTGAGGAGTACGAATAAAAGCCGCCGAGATCTTTACATCTGGCAGAAGGTTCGGCAGATTGCAATGAACGCCTTCCGGTGGTGGCCGGGGACAAATGAAGGCTGATTGTGGTTGTCGGTATGGGAACCAGTGAGCGAGAGGGCCTGGACAAAGTAAGAGGGGAACAATTGCTGGTATGCCATCAAACCGGGTATTCCAGCGCCGTACCATCACCCACTGAAGTACTTCGGTTTCTGGGCAGCCCCGTGATGGACGTCGTGATTTAGGTTGTTAGGCTGAGATGTGCAGTCTTGTTGTTGTTTTCCCTTTTGCTTTCAGGTCGGGATCCCTTCCTTCGTGATGCACAAATCGGGTGGAGCTGACAACGGCCAAACAGATAGTCCATAGCGCACATTACCACGGGTCGAAGCTTGGGGATAAGATGAAGTGAGATGAGATCAATAAGGTCTGGAGAATTATAGGGGTTATCAGACGGGATATAGTCCTTTAATAGGGAAAAAATGAACGTCTACCACAGTTATGGAGGGACATCATGTGATTAAACAAGACAGGATAAAGATGAATCTGTACTCAGTAGTGTAATCATCAGAGTCAAGCTAAGATTGCCAATAAAACTATACTACCTGAGACAGGATAGTTTACTGCATTTGGGCTAAGAGGCGGTGTGGTGAGGGTAAACCAAACTCGAAACGACTGGGGGTGTAAATTCCTGGAGGTTGTTAGTGAGATGGACGATACTAGGACGATCTAGGAAGGAAGGTGGATGCGAGGGAGAAGGTCACCTATCCCCGAAGCACTACCATCAGCTTTAATCAGTTAGTGGCGCCTGACGAAGAAGACATACTATGCTATCCTCGGATGTTGATAGTGGAGTGTCGGGAGTCTAACCGTATGTTTATGTGTTGTATGTGTCTGAGCCGCTCATAAAGTCGATAATTTTCTATTCAGTCCGCGTTCCTGCTTGTGCGTTGTCGCTAGCTCACTCTTTCAAGGAGCTTCTACATCCGACTCCTTTGTAACAGCTGCACCAGTGAGTCTCCATAGTTTCACTGCACACCATGGTCCTGAGATTCCTGTTGCCATGGAGTGCGCGTTGGATCGCCTCTCGAATGCACCAGCAAAGCTATGCGGACGGAAATAAACTACGTTACCGTCCACTGTGTAAAGTGAGACGCTACGGAGATTTGTGCCGGCTTCAACCTGGAGCATCATGGAATGGGTATGAAAGCGCTTGAACTCTTTCTCCTGGGCCCTCGTTGCATCTTAGAGGACCCAACACTCCCCAATTTTTGGAAATTGTTTCGGTCGAACGTTTGGCCAAATAATACTCAACAAGGCCACACTTTTAAGCTAAGACAACTCAGTACTTCTTTTTGGGTGATTTTTGCATTGAACAACCTTCCTGTGGCATTTGTTTTCGCTAAATTTGGGCTCGGTTCAAAGCACTTTTTGAGGCTCACTAAGTGAGTCATCAAGCTGGCCAACTTACTTACCAAAACCGAGGACTTATAAAGTAATGCCGCGCAATTTTTCGTTTTTGACTTTGAGGTTAATGGAAATCGCTGAACTATAAGAATGCGCGTCACTTGGAAGCATCTGTGCCCTAACGCCCGTCTTATGCACCCATCCCTCGCGGATTCGTTGATTTGCATACGGAACAGATGCTTTCACCCAACCTATCCGAATGATGTGAGTTCTTATCGTTCAGTGACATCCATTCACCTCAAATTCAAAAGTGGAAAATTGCGTGGCATCGCCCTTTAAGTCCTTGATTTGTGGAAGTGATGTGGCAAACTCCAGCGGCATCAGTACAAAATTCAAATCAGGCGCTGGTTCAGTTTATTCCAGTTCACTAGCTGGAATAGGGAAAAGTTGTGTCAGTTAAAAATACCCCCAGGTAATTCCACACAGGTGTATTTTAGCTTATTTATACTGGTACACTGAGTAATGAACTTGAGTTTTGACTGTTGAGATATTTAAATAAATGATTTGTGCTTGCACAGTGACCCTCAGCTAAGGCATTTTTCGAGCGGTTGTGTCGTAGTCGTGGGGGACAATGAAACAGGAACACCAGCAAAGCCGCCTCAGAAGGATAGCAAAATTTTTCTATAGCAAAGAAGATGGGACAGTTCTCGGCAGGACGCCAAAAAGTTGGGGTATGTGGATGTCTCACTTCTGGCCGATGAAATCGTTCAGGTCTCATTTTCGCATTCTACCTGGTTGCTTATGCGTTCCTTGCCGGGTTTTTCGTTGGAATGATATCCGTTTTTATGTACGGATATGTATCGAATGAGATACCCACATTGACTGGAAAGCAGAGTCTGTTGTCTCTTAGTCCAGGTAGGTTGTTGGATTTTTTTATCTCGTGCTGCGACCGCAGAACGTTTGAAATCATCATTTGCATTCAATGTACCGAGTGATGTGGCATTTAAAAGATCGTAAATCGTACTCAGTGTGGTAATCAGCCCAAAACGCATGGCTCTAGCAGCGAACGCTGAGGACCAAATCCTGAGGAAGCTTTAACTTTGATCTCTGCCGTTAGACGGGTAACCAGATGGCTGAATTGGACTTGAGTTTCATCTTAACTTGAACAAAATAGTAAAAGGATGTAGCCGAGTATAGGATTTGTTGCGGAGCTTATACTAGCTTGTTTTCATATGTAAGCAAGTGGACACTTTTCTATAGCTTATTGTATACTCACACATGCTGTGCGTCCTATCGCAACAATCTCTACTATAGCTGCATGGTGAGGATAAGTAGATATCGAAGGAGTAATGTGTTCGCGTAGCACTCCCAGTATTGGATTGTGTCCGTGTACAAAATTTTCACACATTATACTCTAAGTAATCCGAGTACAAGCTGGAACTTTCCGTCTTTGTGGTCTGAGGATAATGTAAAGCCAGTTACGTACTTTGTTAGCAACGAGCTGTGCTTTTTGAATGTTTGCACGAGTCAACGTGCCACACATGCTTAGAATGTCGTGGCGAAAGACCCGAATGGGCTTGGTGTTGGCACGGCGGTGGTGACCGTACGTATATGGCTGACCAATTAGTCGCCTAAACTTATGTACGGAAAATGAAGTTGAAGTACCAATTTGGTTCAAAAGCAAATCGAATGACGGAATCATCAGCGGTAGTTTGAAGCTTTCGGATTTAGAAAACGTACTCGACACTGAAATGGACAAGTTACATGATGTTCATCTGATATTCATGTGTGAAACCACATGTTGATGATTTGGAAAACACGAATAGATTTTGTACACTAAAATTTTCGGGATAATACTGATTCACTCTTCGGATGAATTGGGCCAATTCATTTGAACCCTGCTGCTCATGTCTGGTTCACTTTTGTGACACCATTGTGACAAGTTAAGTGTGGCCTTCATTTTGCAGTAAACTTCTGTCTTACAACACACCCATGCAGCCGGTTTATCTGTCCAACGTATCTGGCCTATATCTGCGTCCTCGATGTATGAACAGTAAGAGACCCTTAACGCATCTGAAGGACGTAAAACGTAAGACTTATAAGAAACCGGTTAGTTTAGAAACACTTCTTCTCGGCAAACTGGCTCTTAGCTTATTCCATTTCACCTGCTTTTGTACTTGTCACAGTTTCATCAATTTGTCATAGCACACTTAGTCATAGTCACATTTATAATTATACCCATGGCTCTGCCTAGCGCCCCCAAGACATTTAAAACACAACTCTAACCTGATTACAAATCCAGAATCTTTATCCATATTGCTCTAGATGAAAGAGCGCATTTAGTCTTAATTCCTACTGGTATCAAAAAGGGAATCAGCTGAGCCAACTCAGGTCGCGATAGTAGCTTACGCTACCGACTGACTGCTAAAACCACTATGGGCATAAATTTAATTTCTGTGAAGTGAATACCTGAAATGCCATCGAAAGTCTATGACGGATATCTTGTTACCATAGCAGGCGTTAACTGGCCGCATCACGCCGTCTCATCATTATCAGCTGCAAGAACCGCATGCTTGTCGTATAGTGGTTATGATTGCCACAGTTTCGTTTACTGATCATTTGATTAGGTGTGGTAGGTAGCTGCACATTGGAGGTCGGAGGTGATATAATTAATACATAAATGCAGGGTTGTTAGTGGGCTTTGAAGTGAGGAGACTTGGGTGTAGCTAAGCACTGAGGGTAGTGGCTTGGATGCACGAGCGCTACTGAAGGTGTGACTGGGCCTTGCCTGGTAATTTCTCTAACAAATGATGTATCCCGTCTCGAGGTCCCTATCCAGGGATGCGGCAATGATTGATGCCGCTGAGGTCCCTTGCAAGCTCGTGAGTAGTGTACAGCCGATGACCTCTAGGCAACATGGCGTGAACTCCTGTGCTAAAATGTCCGTATTGGATAGTAAAAACTGTTTACTACATGGCGAAAGAGGTCACTCTAGCTCAGCTGTGCAGTAAATGCCAACCCCAAACCGATTGGAAGACAAAATTGTAGAGTCCGGAACGTTTGTCTCACTTGTGACCGCTTACAAAAGCAGCAATAGGGGATTTCAAAAGAAGTCACTTTTCATGTTCTCAGCCACAATCCGTCGGTGCAAATGCTGATGCAGCAAATAAACACTATTTGCCGCGTCTGCAAAAAGGACTTACTCTGTTCATTTCATGTTACGGCATTTTATTCTGACGAAGTATGAGTCGGTTCAAAGGACATCCTGGGTCGCTGCTTTCCGTGGAGCTCTATCTGTAACAAGTTCCGAACACGTCGTCTAGTTTTCGTTCCGTTGCCGGACGTATTGAGTCACCTATAGACCAAACAGCGTCTGTCTTAGCTGTTGAGAAATAGATGTTTCATTGTCCTGTGATGTACACAGCCTCAAACAGGTCAACAGAGAGTGTTGGAAGTTTGGATACTTTACAGGCTGGTTTGAGGAAGACACGTTCCAATCTCTGGTGTGCATCACAAGATCAACTTGGAAAGGCACAGTTTATTATACCGGCGGTTTCTGACGCAGCTGTTAGATACCTAGCCATTTGCCTGGTGAAAAAATGGTCACTTCTCTCCACTCTGCAAGAGTCTACACTCGGGAGGATCCAGATATCACAATGACATCAAGTTGTCACATGGGTATTCATTCCTTGGCATTTTTTATGGAAGTGCGAGACTAAATAAAGTTTTATCTGGCTCCGTTTCTATTTCTCGCGGTGTTTAACCATTTTGGATGGTGATACAGCTCAAATACTTGACAAAATCAACTTGGTAAGGGACGCTTTGTCAATACTAAGGGGACTAGACTGCATCTCGCCGCCTGTTTTGAATAATACCGGCTTTTCACAGTGGGATTCTAGCATAATAGACAAAGCGCAGTTGCCTATTCGTTTGATAGTCCATTGCCTTTCTGTACTGTCTTTACTGCGGAAGAAGATATCGTCACAAAAAACAAGATGAGTGATCCATGTGACACAACCTGTGTTTCTTGGAAGTCGCTGAGAATGTCTGACATTACCCAGTCAAGTCGAATTTTAAAAGCTTAACTAACTTGTGCAGTCTCATCAAACTATGGAGTTTTAGGCAGACGTACATTTACTGGGATTTAATCCAGTGAAGCACAATAAACCTATTGACTGAGCGGAACACTTGTTCAACAGGCACGCGTGGAGTAACGTACAATAAGCCCGGGTTTACGTCGAGCGTTATGGTACATGATCCTACTTGGATATTATGTGTGCTTCCTGGAGACAGAATGTGGCTACAGAAAACATAAGCCGGCTCTGAGGACGAGAGCTTCGTCACTAAATGCGATATAGATAATCGAAAACTGTAATTAGCGATAGATTCTGTGAATCTTCCAGGGTGATTGCACTGTTCCACTGGAACAGCCATCTAAGGACATGGACAAATACGTTCTGTTTTGGGGAGAGCAAAAGACTCAACCTGTGACTTCGTGATGGCCCAACATTCCTACTCGCAACATATCTGTCGTGTATTTCATACTTTGTATTATTCCATCCCTCTCCTATACTACTTGAAACGACTCTCACACAGTAGAGAATGCGTTTGGAACGCCAAAAACAAGCTAAATGTTCAAACTGTTCTCCATGCCTGATTATTTGCAGCATGTGCCCTGCGGATCCTCCTAGGGTGTGGTTGCGTTAAACTCAGTATCGCCCCTTCTGTCTGATCAATCATCCTCTGATCCATCAGTGTGCGAAGAAAAACATTCGAGACGAAGTAGTCAGCTTAAATTCCTTACCAACCAGTGTAAGCCAGTGCATCCCAACAATAGAAGAAAAACTCATATTGTTTCATTTAGACCGGTGGAATGCACAGTAGGTGTCTGAAGGCGGTTATATCTATCCAGCATTGTCGATATCTTGGCATTTTTCCACAGTGTGCGTACCCGGATAACTTATTTACATTCACTTTGTATGCAGAGTCAGCTAACTAATCAGTCTAAAATTGGAGTAACCGTTTACGTCAAGGCGCCATTAAGTAAGACATAGTTGCAGAAAACCCGTACGCGTGACTGAACCTGTATATTTGACAAGCCTTTGACGGTATTATGACTCACTCCACTTGGTTGGTGTGACTTGCAGAGAGAAAAGGAAAAACGCAAAATCTAGCTTCTACTGGCAGACAATCTGAGACCTCCTCAAGTTCTTTTTGCCGCCTACTTCTATAGGATATCGTCGACAAGCGATCAAGGAGGTTATCAGAAGACGCACGATTTTGTTTTCTGTAGCATGTATTTCGGTTTCAGAGAATGTCCAATGTTGTCAACTGCTGTGGCCTAGTCATGTGCTACGCGTGCTGAAACTAGTACCGTCTTTTCAACCTCTTTCAAAATTACAAAAACCGCGAACTAGACGACGCCTGTTGTAACAAAACGGGTGGAAGAAATAAAGCCAGAGCGCTGTCTATGCGACACTGTATAACAGGGGCCATTGTGGGCCCCTTGCACATAGCTAAAGTCCTTGTTTATGTGATGGCCAGCTGGTGCCGGTGTTGTTATTGTTGTCAGTTTTTGTCCAGATTGCCTGATCCATCACCTCAGAATGATCGCTGTAGGTTATCAACAAATCCTCACACCGTTTATTCTCCATATGTTCACTCAGTAACAGTTAATTGATTATTAACAGTAGAATATTTTTTATTATAGAACAGTAAACTAAAGCACGATACAGTTTATGTTAATATTATTATATTGTATTTGTTATTATTATATCTATTATGATTTGTTATGATTTATCATTATTATACTAAACTGTAAGTAAAATGACGTATTTTACGTAAGGCAAGGCAGTATCACACAATGTAGTGTAATATTAAGATAAAGTATGTAATAAAGTTTATATTATAACAGC